TGACACAGGCTAAAACAGGTCCCTTGCTATACTTTTTTACATAATTAATGTAATCTCTTCTTGCCCCAATGTTTTTAAAACAAAAATCAAAGAAACAGTGGCTGGAGCACATTATATCGCAGCACTTAGTGTACCTTTATTAGCAAAGCAGTCTGTTCGCCGACATATTCTATTAAGTGGAGATGTGCCAATGCCTAGAAGAAGGGGTATATGAAGAGCATTAGTTCAAAACCAAGAATATATGCACATTTAAAAAAAAAGCACATCTTTAAAATGAAAATAAGTGGACACAGGGAGGCCCGGGCTCTCATTTCTTATAAAAGATCTGACTCAAACACACCGTCTATAAACGCTTTGCTATCATATACGCACATTGAAGATTCATGGGAAGACAGTAGCAGAGGCAGGAGCTTCTCATTAATTTGTGTGAATGTCCATATTAAATGTACATTTGAATGGAAGGCCGTCTCTTTATTTTAAGATCGGTGTCTAGGAGAACTCTTCCCCAGTACACAGCAAAATGACACTTCCACAGCTCAGTGGTAGAGTGTGTGCTTAGCATGCACGAGGTCTTGGGTTCAATCTCCAGTACCTCCATTAAAATAAGTACATAAATAAACCTAATTACCCCCCCCAAAATAAAAAATAATAATAATTTTAAAATAAAAAAAAAAAGCACAAGAAAACAAGCAACATGAATGAGGGCACCAACAACCAAGACAGATTAGACACACCCCCAAACATGCAGGAACGAGAATCCGCAGGTCCAGGATATAGTAGAGGAATTTTGTTTAAAGAAATTAGAGTTGAAGAGTGTAAAACTAACAATTAACATTGACCCTTGATGAGTTAAGGATGTAAGTTGTCATCTCTAGAGTAAACCACTAAAAGAGGATATAACTGCCAAAAATCAAGAAATCAAATTTTACATAATCCTCAATCAACTCAAATAAAGGAAGAAAAAAGATTGAAAATAAAAATATACAAGGTCAGACAAAAAGATGGCAGATTTAAACCCAAATGTATTAGTAATGTCATCAGATTTAAATAGAATAAATATATTACTAAAAAGATGAAGACTGTCATACTGGACTAAAAATTTGAATTTTATGCCCAAATACACACTTATTTGCAAAAGACACATCTAAAACATAAGGTGAGAAAATCTGAAAGTTAAAGGATAGAAAAATAAATGAAAGTTTTCTAACTTTCTGTTCCTCATTAAGAGTTAACAATTCTAAATTTATAT